CTAACGACCCTATAGAGGGCTTCGGAGACTATAAATCTTCATAAAAGCAGAAAGCCTCATCTTCCCGCTAAGGAGTGGCTGCTGGGTTTGAACCACTGACCTTGCAGTTAGTAGGTCAGTGCTAACCCACAGCATCATTAGGAGTCCCTTTTTTTGGTGGTGGTGGGGGGATAACATAGCTGTTTTGAATTGTGGAAGCTTTCCCTGAGAGAAATAATGTTATAAATAATACTTATCTTTTTTTAAAAATCTAAACCGACCAGCATCCAGTTAATTTGCCTTATAATGCCCCTATAGGGCAGAGTAGAAGGTTTCTGATGACATAAAGCTTTATAGGAACAGACAACCTCATCCTTCTCCCAAAGAGAAATGAGTGAGTTTGAAGCATCAACCTTGCAATTAGCAGCCCAATGTGAAACGCACTCGGCCACCCAGGTTCCTCACTCACTCACTCAGTGAGTGCTGACTCATAGTCACCCTCTGTGGGGTTCTGAGATGATAATTGTTTATGGGAGTAGAAAGCCCTTTCTCTCTCAGAGCTTCTGGTGGTTTCGAACTGCTGACCATGCAGGTCATAGCCCAACAGGTAACCACCACACCATCAGGGCTTAAACTCTAAGAAACCCCACTAAGACTATTTTGCCCACAAAGCTAGCAAAAAAATGCGGAAAGTACTGGTATAGAGTAAGAGAAAGATTTAATGGTGTTTTGAAATTTTAAGTGGTGTTTAAAATGGTGTTTAAATGGTGTTTGAGGGAAAGTAACTTTCATTAGGAGATGAGAAAGTGTGTAAAATGTCCGGTGGCATCTCCCAAGGGGAATTTTGTGCTCCTCTAAAAGTTCTGAAAAGGAGACCTGAGGGCTCGATGGGTTAAGCTGTGACCTCATGGTTGATGGTTCAAACCTATCAGCTACTCTCCAGGAGAAAGATGAGGCTCTTTGTGTTCTCAAGGATTTTAGTCTCAGAAATACTATATAGAGTGGCTATGAGTTAGAGTTCACTCAGTGGCAGGGGGTAAAATGATAACACTAGAGTAGATTCTCTATCTCTTCCAATACTAAATATTTTTATTATAAAAAATTTTCAAAATGGCAACATAAAACAAACCATGATGACAAGATCTAATTATATTGTCCAAATTAAATTATTTTGTGTTCCAAAATGATTACTTTTGCATATCATGGTTAATTCAGCTATCCAGTGGGGGGGGGGGTCTTCTTCTGTCAGGGGAGACCAGCCCCTAACACATCATACAGGTCCGCTAGGC